TTATCTCCTTACAGTTTTATTTATGGTGGCTGATTACTTTACAACTACCCTTTAAAGCAGCATTGGGAGCTTAAATTACTTGTGCCAAAAAGCCAAAAATAAAGCTTGTAGTAGGCTGTAGTGCGATATAAATGTGTCCTTGTGAATTGGCATCATGGATCACACAGTGCAGAGAGAACAGGGGGAATGCACAATAAGGCTGTCAGCGTTTTAAGTGCATGTGTTTTTCTATTGTAACCTATTGTGATTATTGGGGAAAATAGGTGTAAAGGCAGGATTATTTGTGAATTTAAGTGCATCTAAAGTGCTTCTGTGTCTGCTTTGGGCAAAAGGGCAAACACATGCATTAGGAGCGCCACTGTAGTCCAAGGGGGACCAATGTACGAAATCACATTATGAGAATATTGAAATTGGGGTCATACTTTCGTGTTAGATGTTGACTACAGCAAACCAGGCACAGTTGCAATTTTGGTTGTGCTCTGACCCAATATTTTTGCTCCAGCTAAAGTAACATGGTTCATTTGTTGCCTCATCCACTCGTGGGTGCCACAGGTGAAGAGAAAATCTGTGCCAAAATCATGTTTCATCTTTGTCCATTTCCAAAACAAGCTCTTGTATAGAAAAAAGTCTCACCGGACTCTCTATTAGCGACTCCACATTGTTACCATGCTAGTCATTCCACTGCTGACATAGTTACCCTGCAGCTACCAGCATCCCCTTTCATCAACAAAGAAATCAAAAAAGTCTTTCTAAAAAACGAAATGTCAGCCTTTTGTTCCGAGTCGATTGGAGCTGTTGGGGAGTGGATACACAAGGCGGGCCATGGCCTTTTCCACGTCGGTTCACATGTTGTGTAATCAGATTGCAATGTCCACTCCTCACTTAACACCTCCTCAAAACGCACAACCCCAACATTGCACTGCGCATTTTGATTACATCCCCTGCTGCTTGCATTGATGTTTAGAGCCACCCACCTCCTCTCCTCCTCCCTCCTCCTCTTCCTCTCCTTGTTTGTACCTTGATCACACAATAAGAGTTGCGCACCTACTTTGCAACCCGGGCTGAACCGGTGAGATAAAACTGTGTAATTATATTCCTCATTTACTGCTAGGAGCCACACAGCAGACAAGATCCTCCCCACCCATTCCACCGGCCTTATGCAGCCTTGATCTAAAGCTTGTTTACAGAGGGACAAACAATAACAGCGTGTCTCACTTAGTTGCAGAGGTGAAAGTTAGGAATTATGTACACACATTTTTGTATTTATTTTAAACAAACTTTGGTTGAGAATACTTTTATTTCTGTCATTCAGACTGCTGTAACAATACATATCATTACCTGGTGTTTTTATCACTCTAACTATCTTGTTTAGACTGGCTTATTTGTACAAACCGATCTTGACCAAATATATGACCTACAGCTTTCCATTGCTTGATAGTTCTTTATTAGCCTCACTTTGTGGAAGCCATCTGACCCGCAGCATTAGAATTTGTTTGCTCTGCGGTAGGTGGGACTTTTTTTTATTTAACCAATTGCTGCTATTTGGTCGTGACTTATGTAATGCGCCGTTAACGGGGCTAACTGGTATATTAAGCTTTTCCCAAATCCTGTAGGAAGAAGGACGATAACATCTTTCCCTTTGATGAAATTCACCAAACATTCTCTTTGTTCCGGCTTTAAATCCTTAATCTCAGGAATCGTTGCCAACACAGAATGTATGACTCTTTGCTGATTGGCTGGTGCCCAGACTTGCACTTTCGGGGTTCTTGCAAACCGTCTAGTGTATTCCGATTCCTGACCTAGTCGCAGGAGAGAAATTAAATTGAGTGGAGGCACTAGGTGGAGCCAGGCTGGCAAGTGTCTTATTGCTATGATCCACAAATGGATTAGATGAACTTTTAAAGGTTCAAATTATCCTATTTTCTGATCTGATTATAATATTTTCTCATCAAAAACATACCTGGAGTTGTGTGTTGTTTCATTCACACATGTTTATCACACAATCCCTGCATGTTGCTGAGTGCTCCACTGTGTTTTTAAACTCCAAACACCTTCACTAGAATCATTTGGATGATTTCAGCCCTGGAATTGCTACTGAACAAAAATAAAGGGTAGCAGTTAACATGAAAACTTCCGCTTCATGACATCACAAGGTGGAACAGAGCATTTTGAGCTTTGGAGATGTAGAGAGTCTAGTAATAATAAAGGATTACTTAAAGATGTGCGAATGAAACAAAACACAACTCCAGGTGTGTTTTGATAAGGTAAGAACATTCTAGCATGACTTAAAACTCACAAGAGTCAATTTTATGTAATATAGTTCCTTTAAGGCATTACCATCAAATTGCACATTCATCGCAGCCCAGTATTTGATTTATTAAATGTTAGATTCGACCATGAACTCATTCTTCTTCTCTTATCGTTGTTTGATAAGTATCCTTTGACACAAAAATACAATTCAGCTCCAGCTTTTACTCGAAAACTCAATGACTTGACTCGACCATCACCACCTGTTTGCCAAGTGTCCCTGGATGACCCTCCGTCTTGTACATGCATGCTATTGTAACACTGTCACCACATGTTGACCAATTCCTATAAGGAGAAGAACAGCTCTGATTAAAGCCTTCATTCTGTAGGAGGCACAGGCTTCCAGCGGTCTCCTCCAGCATACCAAGCCACCATCTGGCAAAGTCTCATTAAAATGCTAATTCATTTTAATAAGAGACAGGTAATAAACTGCAATTATGTATCGTAGGAGAGATGAGGGGAGTTTGAGGGAAGCTGGCTCCCTAATCAAGAAGCTGCCTAGTTTGCCACCCCCTTAAACCTACATTCTTAACCCAAAACGTGCACATGACTTTGGATTAAAATTATGAAAGACGGAGTGAGAGATGGCTTGCTACAATATCTAAAATTATGACAGTGGGGTGGTGCAGAATCTTAATTTTCAAAAGCGTTTACTACTTCACTAAAAATCTCATTGTGCAGTTTGGCCTGTCATGATAATTACTATATAATACATAAAAATTGCACCAATATATTTTGGGGCTCCATGGGTACTTTTTATTTGCAAAATGTAAGAGATTTGTGTTATTTTTGTGGTAAATCTCTGAACATAAGGTAAAAAGTAGTTGTTAACATGAAAACTACCTCTTCGTGACATCACAAGACGGAAAAGTGCATTTTGAGCTTTTGCGTTGTAAATAGGCTAATAATAAAAGTTTACTCAAACTTGTGTGAATAAAACAAAACACAACTCCAGTTATGTTTTTGATAAGGTAACAGCATTCTAACATGGCTTAAAGCTGGAAAGAGTCAATTTTGTGTAATATAGGTTAAAATCACGAAAGACTGAGTGAAAAATGGCTTATTACAATTTTTAAAATGATATCACGGGGTGGTGCAGAATCTTAGGTTTCAAAAGTGGCAACTGCTTCACTAAAAATGTCATTGTGCAAACTGGTCTTTCACAAATGACTATTATCGACTCATCATTCAGTACATGAAAGCTGGAACAATATATTTTAGGGCTCAATATTTATCATGGGTACTTTTTTTCTTTGCAAAGTCTGAGAGATTTTTGTTAGTTTTGTATCATGATATTGGAGCTATAGAGGGTTGAATAAGTCACTACAATGGCTAATTATTGCTTCATTTGTCTATGTATTTGTCGCAACTCATGCCTTTTAATGATACTGTATATGTAAAAACCTTAAAAACCTGTTTTTAATTCAGTGGCATAAAATACTTCATTGCGGTATATCTTGTAGTTCAGGTTTTTGACAAAGTTCACTGGTCAATTTCTATAAAAGCAGTGTAATTTGACTATTACACATTTACCTGTTCAATCTCAAGGTAAATAGTTCTGGTATTTGAAGTCTTCTGAAAGCCGGTGCTAACTGTTTTCCATCCAAGTTATTCTGCTCAATGCATGTATACAGTTTCAAAAGGTGTTTCATCAACTACATAATAAGCCTGTCTAGACATGTAGTTTGAAAAGACTGAAACTGAAATAAGCATCACTTCTTATGTATTTTCTTATAGCTTTGAAAAACATATATATGGGGAAAAAAAACAAAAACTTACACGCTTTTGTGTCATGCTGAAAGGGGGAAGCTACAACATCAGTGAACTTCTCATTTCACTTGAACTCTATCATCTTTATTTACTTAAGAACCAATCGGAAAGCGTTTGAAAGACAGATTTGGGTCAAGCGTGGCACCCTGTTGTCATATTAGCCTGTCACCTGATGGGAACTGAGTCTGAAGCAGATGGCAACACGACCACTATTTTACACAGCGCTGCCCTTGTCAAAAACATGAAATCTGACCAAAGATTAACTCAAGATCACATGAAAAAAACTATAAAATATTAATGAAAAACTTTAAAATTCTCATAATGCAAATCAAAAACATCTGAGCCCAGTTCAAAAATCGACTGCATGTAACAAGGTGAAATTGCAATGTTTGTAGTTGGTTTATCTATTAAGAGAGACAGAGATAGAGATATGTGTTTATTTCAAACTGTCAAAATCTGCCTTCATCATATAATGCAGCTTAACAATCAAGGTAAAGAAAGTGCATAGAAAAAAATAAATAAATACAATAAAAACAGATATCTCAGACAAGAAAGTACAAATGTATTAAAGCTATCTGTAGTTGTGACTCTCCATGTGCATTTACCTCAGGGGGAGAAATCAAGTGGGCAATAAATCCACCCTCTTGAATCACAGGAAGCTTTGACCCCTATTTTCTGTACAGCTCTGCCCTTGTTTGTCCTTGGACGTGGCATACCTGCACCTTGCTGTATCAACAAAATAATAATGTCTTGTTATGGATTTAGCTGTAAAATTGCTGATAGGAGAGTGATTGGAACATAATAAATGTCTACTCAGAATGCAATTGTTCAATGACCTTTTCTATTTGTTGTTTTGGCTCATTCATGTTTTATTCAAAGAAATCCTCTTTAACGATTTGATTACTGTTGTTCTCTTGTTTCAGGGCCCCCAACTATCTCCAGTACACAGACTCAGCAGGCGCTGCATGGGGAAAAAGGACAAATCAAGTGTTTTATTAGGAGCACCCCTCCTCCAGACCGCATTGTGAGTACAACAACACTTTTATTATCTCCTTCTTTTTCTCTTTATTTCATTTAAAGAAAGTGAGATTATATTTTTTATAAGCCACAGTAATATAAAGATATCACTGAACTTCATTTTAATCTTTGAATAAAACATCAAATTCTACAGAGGAAGATGTGGACCTATCCTCTTTTAATAATGTGCCTCTGTTCTGTTTGTTCTGATCCCATTAAGATTTATGAAGCCTTTATAAACAGCTTAGTCTCTGAGCTCATTTTGTTCCTATTATTAATTTGTGAGTCTGTGTATGCATATGCATATGGCTAATTACCATACTTTGTCATCTAATATGTGTTTTTATTATAGTGGTATACATGCAGCCTCAACAGGCAGCCTAATTAATACCAAGTTTATTTGACAGGAGAGCCTTTGAGACTGGACTGCATACGCTCCATAGGTCGTGTTGTTTTTTTACCACATGCACTCTGAGGGAAAATGAAAGAGTAACACTGTACGTTCACAGCTAGCTTTAGCCACCTGTCTATTATCAGGAGCCTGAGGCACGATGTGTTGTTTATCTGTGTACTGTCTTCTTTTCCTCACACATTAATACCTCATGTAGTTAGCACCATATTATCTCCAAACAACTGTGCTTGACACACTAAGTGAAGTGGGCCAATAAAATTGCTAAATAAACTTCGCACTGCATAAATAAAACATGCAAATATGCTCTGGTTTCTGTAATCCGCCCTCCACATCATTGTTAGTGCAAAACAAGGGTTGATCCAGAACACATCACATCATTCAGAGGACTTTGAAAACTGTCAGGAGTTTAGTTTTACTGGAACAACTGAAAACAAATTATGGCAAAAACTCCTGCAGAGTGATGTGTTGTAATACTCCAATATTGAACTGAACCATTGTCTACTGTCAATACAGACATGTATTCAGTTGTTGTTGTTGTTTTTTTTTGTTTTGTTTTTTAACACTGTAGTTTCTTTCAGCAGTGCAGTGCTATTATCTGATTTAATGAGGTAATTCTTTTCTATCTGCAGGCCTGGTCGTGGAAGGAGACCGTTCTGGAGTCGGGCACATCTGGCCGTTACACAGTAGAGACAGTGAGCACAGAGGAGGGGGTCATTTCCACTTTGACCATGAGTAACATCGTACCAGCAGACTTCCAGACCATCTACAACTGCACGGCCTGGAACAGCTTTGGCTCTGACACCGAGATCATACGCCTGAAGGAACAAGGTGGGAGCCAAGGTTTGAGCCGTTCCACCTTTCTCTTTTCTATCTGTGTTCTTTAGATAGCAGTAGAAATGTAGAAATGTTGAAATGTGCTGCTTTGTGTCTTTTGTCTTCATACTTTTAACCAAATATTAAGGGTGATTTCATGGAAGGACAGTTAAGTGTTGTGTCAGTATCACTCCAGGTTGTTTTTTTTTTTGTTTTTTTTTTTTTTAATCAAGGCGTAATCCATAGAACACATTACACATTAAAGAAGACATATTATGCTATTTGTCATGTATTTAGTATTAACCATAACATGTGTAGATCATTATGTTACATTTTGTCCATTATAAACCACAGTATTGATCTAAAACACTAAAGAAAATAAACTGCTCCATTAATTTCCTGTTCAGAAATGATTGGCCCAGCCTCTTCAAAGTGCAATTCCCCGTAGCAAGGAGCAGATGTTTATTTACTTGGTTTTATTATTAATAAATGCCAATATAAAGTGTTTGAACCCTGTGACCCAGAGTCTGAATGCAAAGAAGTAAATACAGAGCAATAGGCGTTGATAGGGGGTCAGTGAAAACATGGTGAAAAGTTCTTAAAAGCCTATTTATATAATATATTCCCTTTAAAAATGTTTTATTTTTTTATTTACTTTTATTTCCCCATTGCCTGTTTTCAGAATATATTGAATTCTAGGTTCATATCACAAGTCCAGCAATCGAAAACTCCATCTCTGGTGCATTCACACTTAAAATTCTGTCTAATGTCGCTATGAAATCACTTGCGAGGTTTTGTCAGAAGCCCTTTAAAAGCCCCATCAGATTTCATTTGAAGTTTGTGAGGAGTGACAGTTGACAGCCGCCCGAGTGCACGCTCCAAATTGTGAAACGATTGATGTGTCTTTATTGAGAACACGGTAGCAATAAATTCAGTCCAAATTAGCTCCCTGGTTTAACCTAAAGTATATCTTCATCTCAAATTGAAAGAGCAGCCCTTTAACACGGCTATGAGAAGAATTTTAAACATGGAGTCTCACCCAGCGCATTTTAATAGCCAACTTTATTTATATATTTCACAGAACAATGAAATACGCCCTTTTTATCGACTGACCCTGTGTCCTCTAATGTTGGGGAAGCTCTGTTTGGTGTTCCCTTGTACCAAACTATAAATTATAAGCTTCTTATGTGAAAGTGACATTGATCAATGGGGACATTAAACAGCCTTTAATGGCCATAGAAGAGAGATAGGTTGTTTGGCAATTGTTTAAAATGTGAGAAGGTCATAAATGTCGTAATTTGAGTCTTCCTTATTAAAGGTAGAATTTAATGAGGTTGCTGATTCTGCAGAGACAAATGACTTCTGGTTTAATCCAGGGAGTCACAGAACGCACCTATCTGGCCTGGTTTGATATTGCACATATACTCGCACTCTACCCAATGACAGCGCTTAGTAAAACACTTTTATAGGCCTGCACAGAAGTAAATTAAAGTTATAAGGGAGCTGGATAATGAGCTTATTGTACGCAGTAAAAATGTTTGCACAGAGCATAACAAAAGGCTAAGTAATTACTTTGCACATAATTTCAAAAACATATTTTTAGTAGCACTGATGTCACGTCTATTAAAATATTATGTCTGGCTTTAATTTGCAGTAGCAGGGACACAAATAGAGTTGGGTTCTTTTGTGTTTTACTGAGTATATGAGATGCCGGTTGTACATTATGATACAAGTACATATATATTTTTTATTTGTTTGTTTTGTGCAGAGTCTCTCCCCGTGGCAGTGATCATTGGAATAGCAGTGGGAGCCTTCGTGGCCTTCATCGTTCTCCTGGGAACCATTGGCGCGTTTTGTTGCACCCGCTCCCAGAGAAGTACGCCCATTTCCTGTCACATCCATAAGAGCATGTACAGTGTAGCATAGTATTGTGGTATCTCCAAGCACACAAAAATGTCTATTAATGGAGTATGGGATTCATTGATTGGGTTTATTATTTTTATATTTTCAGATATAATACTGCTACACAATTTTTGCTGCTGCCAGTAAGAATACAACAAATCTCTTTATTTCTATGTAGTTTTAATCATTCTCAAACATTGAAATACACTTAAAGGCACTGTACCTGATTTTTACTGTCTTACTGTCTTTTTACTGTTATGTCATCACTGTAAAGCTAACAACAACTAGCATGTTAACCGAACTCGTCCTGATTCATTCACAAACTGGACTAAATTTGAACACGAGAGCTCCTTATACAATATATCTGTACAGGGGAAAGACAAATTTTGCTCAACTACATGGAAAGAAATCGGGTACAGTTCCTTTGAGGCCAGTATTTGTCAAATATATTAGGCTATAGAACATAGAGACTAAATCTTTCCATTAAAGTTTCTATTTCTTGACTTGGCAGCATAAAACTAAATGTGCACTATACTGAGTTCTACCACAATTGGAAATCTACAAAGTAACTGTAGGGAGAATATTCTCGTAAATAAATCTTTCGGAAATACCATAACATTTTTCCAAGATTTATTCTGCACTAAAACAATAGCCTTTTTCCATCCCACAAAATATGATCACGCTATTCGTTGAGATAGACATTTTTGGTGGTGCTGAGATAAAGGGATTGTGTCAGGGCTCATTTCATGCAATCTCAGTGTGACGGCATTCGCTTTGGAAATTTACATCCTGCATTACCCAGTCCCCCCACCGCTCGGGATGTCATGATATAAGTTAGCGTCAGGATTATTGTCAGAAGAAAGATCCCAAGTTTATGTTTATTCATGAATATTGGCACCAGGCCCAAACTGTGAAATCCTGAACTCACTTTCTTTCATTCAGTGTCTAATATGTTTAATAGATCACCATTCATCTAAGAGCAGCTTTATGAAGTCTAACTATGTAAATGATGAAGTAAAGTTTATGTGGCATAGCCTGATGAAAAAGCTTTTTACATTTAGGCTTATTGTTTTTGAGTATACATTTATTTAAGCTTGCACAATTTTGAGAAAAAATATAAATAAAAAATCCAAGTGCACAATGTATATATCTTCTATTTTGTTCTTTGCAGAGGACATTCTTTTATCTAAATATTCAAAGCCTTTGCAATTTGGCAATTCTGAATACTCTCTTGATTCTAATGCTGTATGTAATGTCATGTAAACCCTAAACTGAATACTAAAGTATAGATTTTTTAGTTTACACCAGCAATTACACTTGTTGCTTAAAGGGCCCGTGTTAAGCTATTTTCTGATCTATGTAGCTTTCTTTTCAAAAACATGACTGGAGTTGTGTTTTGTTGGAGCTCTTGTCTTAAACTGAAAACACTCTGTTGCACCTTATGATGTCATGTGGTAATACCGGAAGTGCACCACTGTGTTTTTTTCAACACCAGAATCATTTGGGTAATTTCAGCCCTGTAATTTACAATCTCTTCTGAACAAAAGCTAAAAGGTAGGTGTTAACTTCAAAACTACCACGACATGACATCACAAGGTGAAACAAAGCATTTTGAGCTTTGGAGATATAGACACTTATAATAAAGGGTTACTCAAACATGCACAACTGAAACAAAACAACTCCAGGTATGTTTTTGATGAGGTATTAAAGTTATAATATGGCTAGAAGAAGAGTCAAAAGTCAAATTTGAGTAATATAAGACCATTAATTATCTTGACATCCCTGCCCATGAACATCACCACCACAGCCATCACCACCCCCTCCTCCTTCCCTCATGTACCACTCAGTAACTCAGGTGAGAGGCAGGCAGCCCTCCACCCCTGCCCCTCTCCAAAGGTCCAAAGTGTGCTCTGGTCCCTCAGCATGTCTGTTGTCTGTGCACTACAGAGGAAGCGCACCTGGTTATGCCCTCACTGCCCGCCTCCATCTGTGCTCACCAGAGAGAACTTGCAAGCAAAATTAAGACAGAAAGTAAGACTCTAATACATCAGCATTGTCCCACTGAGAACGGGCTGTCACCGTAGGCAGCAGTACAGCAACAACTATAGTCTTGGGTTGATAAATGATTAATAACGCTGGGTATTGCATGGGAAAGATAAATCTCAATTCAGATTTTGGCAACTGGATAAATTACTGTTTGTATTTGTGAGAATTGAATAGGGGGTTTCAAATATTAAGAAATACACACTCAAACCAAGACAATTTATTGAAGTATTTCATAATTTCGGTTTGACAGATCTGAAAGGAGTGGTGTCGGCCAAAAATGACATCCGCGTAGAGATTGTACACAAAGACCATAATGCAGCGCGAGAGAATGAAGAACAGGCGTCCATGAAACAGCTGATGGTGAGTGTGAGTGTCAATGCTTTTCTATTTCAATTCTATGGTTTAAGATTGTTTGAACTTAATCTTGTGTGTTGACTCCACATACATGAGCAAATATGTTGTCGTTGTTCAAGGACCCACATTATGCTATTTTCCAGCTTCTGTTATATAATGTTGTTTTCTTGGAGTTATGTTTTGTTTCTGCATATTTAGGCACAGAAAACACTGCACTTTGTGATGTCATGTGGTAATACAGGAAGTGCTCCACTGTGTTTTTAAACACTATACGCCTTCACTGGTATCATTTGGATAAGTTCAGCCCTGGAATTGCCAATCTCTACTGAATGAATAGTTCAATTTATCTGTTAAATTGGAAAACTAACACTATATGACATCTCAAGGTGGAACAGAGCATTCTGAGCTTTGGAGATGTAGACAGATTAATAATAAAGGATTACTCAGACATGTGTGAATGAAACAAGACACAACTCCAGGTATGTTTTTGAGAAGGCAACAACATTTTAACATGGTTTAAAGCTCACAATAGGCAATTTTGTGTAATATAGGGCCTTTAAACACAGAAGAGTACAATGGTATTACTCAAGGTGAAAACTGTCTACATTTTATAAAAGACATATACCAATTATTCTTGCAAAATGTCTTCTCTGCTTTGGTGTGACACTGCCAACTCAGTTCTTTAACAAACTATGATCATCTGCATACATACATTATTTACACTTTTTTAATGTGCACTATATTTTTGTCTCCCTGGAGATATTATTGCTTTGCCTAGAATGTTCCACATTATTGTAGTAAGTTAACGTATTTATCTGAAGGGTGACAAACAGGTGAGAGCACCAGGCCAACAAGTTACAGGTCTGATCTGTGAAGAGGCAGGCCAGCTTGGTGTAATAATGCATGTTTTTTAAGGCGTTAAGTTATATAGTGCACCCTATAGTTATTATTTGTATAACTATGATAGATTAGTCACTCACAGTTACTCCTCTATCCTGACATTCTTGTTTTGTAGTAGTACTGGACATCAAACCAAGTGCAATGTGCTGTTGGCTATGGCTCTGAACACTGTGTACACATACTCTAGCATGCAGACATAATGAGAGCACATTTGGTGAAGTCAAGCGGACTATATTTACCCATATGATGTGCTTCTTCCTGCTAAATGTGCCCTATCACAGTGTAACTATGGAGATGCTGATGCATGGTGCGTAATCCAACAGTGGGTGTATGTCTGCCTGTAGGACACACAAATAACTGCTTCCTTTTTGGATCTAAATAAAGTGTTCCATTTGGTCTACTGCAAGGAAAGACTATTTGCAGTAAAAGCTTTGGAGTTTTCTTTCAGATTAGGTAACACCGTAAAATGATCCAAACTGCTTCATATCTGAGAAATTTGTTAAGATAAATAAAACATACTCCCTGATCTATTATTAATGTCCACCTCCTACCTCCTACCTGAAAAGTTACATGGTGGACTTTAAAGGTGGCTTTGTACATATAGCAAAGCCAGTTATTTGGGTCAATGTTTTTGTTACAGATTGGTATAATACAACATCTGCTTGTGTGTTGTTATTCTTATTGCAGGTTGAGAGGGGCGAGTTTCAGCAGGAGTCAGTTCTGAAGCAGCTGGAAGTGTTACAAGAGGAAGAGAAGGAGTATCAGCACATTAAGGTACAATTTTTAACTAAGAGCAGAGGGATCCACTGAGAGAGAGACAGAGAGAAAGAAGAGAGAGGTAGAGAGAGAAAGGAATAGAGCAAGAGAGACCCACAGAGAGAGACACACACACAGAGAGACAGACACCCACACACACACACAGAAAGACGGAGAGAGAGAGTAAGTGAGAGAGAGGGACCAAGGCTAAGAGGGTGGTCTTGAACAGTGGGACTGAAGGAGTGCAGAAACACTAATCCCTCTTCTGGTGTGATTCTCAAAGTCCACCGACCAAATGACTTCATTTAATGGTCTGCTTTTATTAATTAGTCCCTGATCAAAGGTGCTCTGGAGTAATCCAGGACTGGCAATCCCCTAAGCCTTTATTTAAGTTACACAGAATCTCTCTGGAAGTGTCATGTGCACGGAGCATAAGGGCAGATTTGGTAAATGACAATACAGAAACAATAGTATAGTATAATCAATAATACCATGGACTGCACACATAGTACACTTTAGCAGACATTGCACTGTTTCTATGTTCTTATTGATAAATTCTTTAATATGTTAGACTACTGTTTGCAGTATTGAATAGCCAATTATTTTTGGCACATTTGTAGAGGTTCTTCTATTCACAAGCCCCTTTTGAACACCTGATTGAATTTTCGGTAGCCAAATATCCTCCATCTAAATTATTTCATGATTAGAAAAGCATTTCACAAAGATTTTAATTTCAAGTTTAAACAAATCCTATGCCCTTTTCCAAATTAGTATTCTGAAAATATTTAATTCAGAATTTGGAATTTATTCAACATTCACCAACACAGTATTTTGGCATAAAAGATCTTTAATAATTGGGTAGCACATTTGATTAATTTTACAATCAGCCATATCTACATGACAGAAGAAACCAAAGAAGAAGAAAAAATCAATAATTGAAAGGTCCATCAATTTTGTCCATCATGTTGTCCCTGAGCAGGCCTCAGATTCATTCTTTTTTTTTTTTTAAACCATGGTTTTAACTCAAAATGTGGCAAACACTTAATAACTACTATGACTACTACTACTACTACTACTACTACTATTACTTTAAATGGCCTTAATAAATTCTTAACAAATTCATAATTAACATATAGTTTATTAAGAATGATTCAGGCTCATTAGCTACTTAACTTCCAACCCTAACTCCTTAATTATATTCACCCTATAGCCTTAATCCTAAACCTGAACCATTCTTAATAAAGTATTGTTCATTATTAATTAAGTTTTTGTTCATGTTTTATTAGGGCAAATTAAAGGGCCCATATTATGCTGTTTTGTGATCTATGTTATAATGTTGTTTCCTCATCAAACACGCTGCTGGAGGTGTGCTTTGTTTCATTCACACATGTTTCATCCACACAAACTCTGCATATTTAGGCTTAGTTCTACTCTCAAACAGAAAACACTATTTTATACCCTGTGATGGCACGTGGTAATGCAGTAATACACCTTCACTAGAATCATTTGGATAATTTCAGACCTGGAATAGCCCATCACTGAACAAAAGGTAACATCACATGGTTTAGAGATGTAGACTCATATATGTGTGAAACAAAATACAACTCTGCTTATGTTTTTGAGGAGGCAACAACATTAACTTGGTACCAAAATATATGTATTATATTTACATGTGGGTGCAGTTAAATAAATAGGAATGTCACAACACAATATAATGGCTTGAATAGTCTTTTTCTAAGTCAACCCATTATTGTCATGTTTGTTTGTCTGCTTTGAGAGAAAAACAGTGTTAACAACGATCACATCAGAGCAGTACGTTTACATGGCCAGGTGATTATATACATCTGCACCTGCGTCAGAGCTTAACAGCACCTCTCAGATCTGGCCTCTTCATTTACGTGTTTGTCCAATGGGATGCCACTGGAAGCTCACTTGAGTATACTTGTGCTAAGTTACCTGCTACCACTCTCCTCTTGGGGGCCGCGCTTTTGATCCTATTTAATGACGAGCGAGTGTAGAGCCGCGGTGGAGGCAGGGATAAAGGCCAGATGCAAAAGATGTCTCTGTCTGCTGTCTGGTAATGATGAACATAACAAGCACGCTCTCAGGTTGTCGCTCTCATTTGCCCATTACCAGCATTCTTCTTTGGGGACTTGCCACCACCGTGCTTGACATTCACATCTATTCACACAAGAGCGTCAAACATACACACACGCCCCCACCGGACCCTTAGCAACAGCCTGCAGCCCGGAGCCAAGCAGCGAAACAAGCGGCACAGCTCAAGACGTCTCTGAATACGTGAAATTACAGACACTCGCATCCATTTAGGTCCAATTAGAGCCTGCTTGTGAGTGAACTTTGCAGTGACATCTTGAATGCCAAACTATGATTCATCAAGGCTCCTTAATTAACAGAAAAATACATGATTTGGAGGTTAGTGTTGAGGCTGCTTAAGTCCCAGCACAAGGTTTTGCCACTATTTTAATTTAGTTTTTGTTTTTAGTTGTTTTTCTCTCTCTCTTGGCACATAGAAGCTTCTTTCCTATTCAGTACATTTTCATTTATGCATATTATGCCTTAGCACTGACAACTTGAGAATATATAAATGCCCCTAAATACACACTGGTTTATGTTGTAAGTAACAACACTATGTCAATGCCTTTTCCAGGATCCTACAAATGGATACTACAGCGTGAACACCTTTAAAGAGCACCACACGCCCACGATGACAGGCAGCCAGCCGGCCGAGGTCAGGAATCCCAGCAGCACTGGCACTCTTGGGAAGCAGAGGGTCCCCACAGGCATGTCCTTCAACAACATCTACTCCACTCTGGGGGCAGGCTCCAACCGCCTGTACGACTACAGCCAGCGCTTCGTGCTGGGCATGGGCAGCAGTTCCATTGAGCTGTGTGAGCGCGAGTTCCAACGCGCCTCCCTCAGCGACTCCAGCTCCTTCATCGACACACAGTGTGACAGCAGCGTGAGCAGCTATAGTAAACCAGATGGGTATGTGCAGTTTGACAAAGACAGTAAAGTGTCAGCGTCCTCTTCCTCACACTACTCTCAGTCGTCCTCTCAGAACTCAGACCTGACCAGGCCTCTGCAGAAACGCATGCAGACTCATGTCTGACCTCCAGGACAGGAGGGGGAACCGGAGAAGCAAACACAGGATTGTCAAATACCCCGGGACTCTTATGTAAACTATAGGACAGAGGGAGTCTGGTGGATGCCTGGAGACCTGGGGATGGTCGGCTTTAAATGTGACTAAATGTCCCAAAATATGGACCAAGAAGCCTTATACCCCCCTCACGCTTAACACAACACTCACCTCTTTTCTACAACATCTCAAGAACTGTGCCACATGAAGCTTATTTGCCAAGTTTGGAATTTGAAATGAAAAAGGTGCTCGCCACAGTGGGACTGTTTGTGGATCAGAATGCAACAATACCACAAGGATTTGTGTGACAATCAACTCCCCAGGCAGAGACTGTTTAGCCTTTTGAAGATTGTCATTCAGAAAGAAACTCTGTGAATTGGCGAAGCACTCAGCATGAAAATCATGATAATGAGCTGGAGCCAGTGTCCTGCTGCTCTGTTGGAGTTTGAAGCACAAGAAACAAGCGTGCACCTAGCTTGTTTAACTGGCCCTCCACGCGTCCCTTTACAGACTGGAGCCAAGTTGGGCTAGTTGAAATTGCTTTTGCCTGGAGGTGACAGAAAACTTTCTCCCTGTGCCCATAGATGTTGAGCCTAAAACAATGTGTACAACAGAGTGGGTCACAGCGCAGAGCAGATAAGGCTCAAGCAGCCCTGTCACACAGACATGATAAGAGACTATCAGTGTACATATGTGAGTATCATTTTATAATTTCTCTAATTGCCTCTGACTTCACTTTGGTGGACTCAAAATGAGACATCAGCGCCTCTTGTTGTGATGAATACTTTGCCTTGAGGGTCTGTTTGAAACTTTCAAACTGAATGACAGTGTCAGCTCTTTTGTTTACGAGAACTTCCTCTTCCACTGGTTTTGTGCCCAACTCCAAAAAGCACTTAGACAGGGAACCCTACACATCATAATGTAACAGATAGTTTGCCTGCCATTTTAAAGCTATATTCTTTCCAAACTGGAGTGGACATTGTATTTAACCCGGGCAGCTGAGTTTTTTCACAGCTTTTGTTAACCTCACTAGTGACCTTTATCTGACATCCTGTGTAATGGTCATCAAGGGACAGTACATATTTTACTGTTTTGTTTCTGTTAACCACTGTTCATTTCTGCTGCTGTGACATAGATGATATTGTTTAAATGCAATTAGTTTATGCACTAAGTATTTAACTACTGACAATGTACTTATGTAGTTCATAGGGGCATTCTCACACTGCAAACTTTTTGACTAAAATGGTTCTTATAATTATTGGTTTTAAACACTGAATTTCTTTCTCTTTTTTTTTTGTTGTATATTTTATAATTTCAGTTGTATGTTTGGTGGTCACACATTGTCATAAAAAGCTACACTAAATGAAAATGGAAAAGGAGAGGCCAGAAACAGGAGACTGAAAACTAGACATTGTAATGCACTTTATTTATTTTTTTCATTTCTGCAGAAGTGGTTTCTGATGTAATCCTATTTTACAAATGAATTGAAGTCCATTGTAGATCTTAAGATGCCACGCTGTGTTTGGGAGCTGATAATCCATCTTGGCACCTGTAGACTGTATATACATGTCTTATGCATCTCTCTGTGTACATATTTTGTTCTGTTCCAGGCTTCTCTGTGAGTCAGATTTCAATATATTAGAGCTTAACAAATCCATGTGGCATCAGCATTGTGTGAACAGACAATCGCTTTTTCTTTGTTTTCCATCCAGAAATCTTATCAACATATTCTATTCATGCTTGTTTCACACAAATTACATTAGGGGCTTATGTGTGCAGTTTTATTCCCCCATTTCTCACTGGGAAATCAGATTCTCACACTAGATTGGTAAAGTGCAGAGCTTAGCTGGTTTAGCTTTACACCGGAAATTCAACATTCTTCTACAGTGGCTCTTCTTGTGAAAGATCTCCACAGTGGCACTCAAGCAGAACAATATGAGTCAGAAAGCAGATGAATCTTTTCTTCTTTTAAGTATGTCTCACTCACATCTCTTTGTTTGGCTTGGCAGTGGTCATAAACTCAGATCTATTTTGCATGTCTGATGTCTTCTGGCATTTAAACAAAAAAAAAGATTATTATTCATATTCCATGAAATAAAAATAACTCCTTCATTGTCTGTTTTCCTAGTCAAAAGCATGTCATGGGAACTCACCCACCCATAGTTCAGATCCCAGTGCTCAGAACATGCACAGGTCAAATGAAACATCAATATTTGCACCTAGCCTATCCCCCACTGTGGGCCTGGCAACATGACCGTCAGGTCCAGTGTGTCTCTGGGACACTGTCCTCATAGATGACAGTGACCTCTCACCTGTGGACAGTGGGCACTGTCCCTTTGGAGCTGGTCTGGCTGTGGGGGCCACACACACGCCAAAGTAGAACAGATGAATAAACATACAGGCCCACACAATTACAAGAGGTTGCTGGCCTTTGCTGATAAAACAGCAGCCTCTCACAGAGGAGCACAAACATAGTCTATTATTCAGACATAAAGACTTGCCAGTGGCAGGCTGGATAAGGACATTTCTTAAGTGAGAGAAAGGGCCCACAAGTGTGGCAAAAGAGCTCATTTGTAAATGTTTGTAGTGGCAACTCTTTCCGGAGGCTCTATTGAATTTTTTTTTTGTGCTGCAATAAGCATTAAAGTGGCCATTTAACTGTCTCTCCAGAAACACCCTCTCTCCACTCATCTATTTTTCTCATTTGATTCCTACATGCTTATTAACCGTACAGTGTTACAATTAACCCCTTTCATAATGCTTCACCTCAAGGCAATGTGTGCGTCACACATAGAATATGAGAGTCACTGTTACAGGAAGTCAAATCTGGACCTGTCTTTGAGGAGGCTTTATTTCTCTGTAAACCAAATCTGTCTCTGTTTTACAAACACTAATTCAGATCTCAAACTAAAGTTGGACTGTGGTTTATTTGATTTCTATGACAACATAAGCCTAACTGTAATAAAGATGACTTGTAAATTCTGCTGGATTATCCACTCTCATCAGTCAGTGGCCCTCTGTATCTTAAATGAAATGGTTGTATTTTAACTGTGGTCTGTGGAACTCTGATGCTTTTACTCTGTATATTTGGAGAATAAACCTCATGTTTGAGATGGTGTGAGTGTACATGATTGCGGCTGCTTAACACACATCTAAATGGGAATGAGACGCAGAGGCTCCATTCACACTTTAGTGCGTATGTGGGGACTCCATCTTCAGTCAATTCACACTTATATCTTTACTATGTACATATATAGACTTACACTGTGTATCAGGTTATCATAGCCTGTATAATGCAAACTATACATTTATATTGTCTTTCACATTTACACAGCCCAAAACATGACTGCAAATCTGGAGAACAATAGACAATGCATTAACCTTATTATTTTTGATCTGACCTCTACAACGTTTCAAATGCCTGGGTTTTGCATATAAATTGGCAAGACCAAGATAAAAATTAAAGACTGTTTCACTGACCATGCTTATTCACTATGAATATTTGTGACTATTCTAATGGTATATCCCACCCTAAAACATCAAATGTGTTGCTATGAGAAACGCGTAAAAACACCCCCCTTTATTACTCCATGACTGAGTGCACAGTGCATACAGACAGAGTTTCACTGAAACCCAGAATACATCCAAATGGTTCAAAGCTATTTGTCCACAAGTGGCTGATATAGCTCTCCAGCAGTCAGCAGATTCACACCATTACATTTACCAGCCTTTAATCCATTAATAGGACCTTTGCAGTCTTACTCTAAATTAAATGAAGTTAATAAAAGAGCCAGGCTGCCTGGAGCAGCAGCCACACTCGTGCACCAGTGAAACCGAAAAGTGATTTGAATTCTGTCATGCATACAGCCCATGCTCTGCAAGAGCAATTACTCTGGAGCAGGATTAATCCACTTGCAGGCTGCATGGGAATGTGGCATTACTGAAGTCTATAGTCCCCCACGGCAGCTTTGTGTGAGAGGAGAGACAAACTCAAGTCTACTCTAAAGTCATGACAAACTGTGCATGATGCCTCCAACAGCACTGACAGCCCAGTCTCCAGAATCACTTTTCCAACCACAATTCCCGAGCTCTGCCTTAAAATCAGTGAGGGGTGTGTTTAAACAGAAGAAAATGTGAGTTTTCAACATCTGTTTGAGATGAGTGACCAGACTTCCATCAGCCATGGACCAGGATGGTCAAACATCTCCATATGTGTAAAGTTACTATTAATACAACACAAGCATGTTTTCAACTATGTGAGGAATACGGACACATGGGTGGTTTTTGGAAAGATGGTTTTAGTGCAATTAAAAAGGAAAATATGTTTTCTAAATCTCCTATATTCTGATAAGAATACTGCTAAACCCTCTGCACTTTTGCCATTCACCCATCTATGAGTCTGAATGACAGCAGACCTGAGAATCAAAACCACACCCACTTTGCTATAGTACTTTTAATACTGTATCACTTCACCACTAGAAATTACATAGAAGAAGCAATAATGGCTGCACTGTACCCCCTATGACAGTAATAGTAGTAGTACAATTCTCCACATGTTTTTGACCTCTTTCCAGAGACTTTTGTTCAGAAATATCTGACAAATGTGAACCTCACAGCTCGCAATTTTCTCCAAGTGCAAATTAATAACATCAGAACAGTCCCAGTAGTCTTTGTGTTGTGAAATTACCCATGACCAGGTATTTACCAGGAGTAAGGGACCTTAATGTCAGGTACACGCTGAACAACCCATTGTGTTACTCTTCCACAGACAGTGCATGTTGTTTGTTAGCTTGGGTTAAATTATCCATGCTATTTCACTGTCACTCAAACTTATTTTTAATTCCCAAACTGTGAACCATATGGTGGCATGCTGAAAAGTGGTTGAGTGACATGTTGTTGCAGCTTTCTGGAATTAATTGCCTATGAAATGCCTTTTTATTGTATTTTTATTATTTTGTAGCATATGTCTTTGG